CCTCTCTTTGGATCCATCTTATTTGGAACTCAGTCTGTCCTGGATCTTGATTTCTGTTTCCTTCCTCAGGTTAGGGAAGTTTTCAGCCATTAGTTCTTCAAATAAATTTTCTGCTCATTTCTCTCTTCTCCTTCTGGAACCCCTATAATGCAAACGTTATTCTACTCGATGTTGTCCAATAAGTCTCTTAAGTTATCCTCACTTTTTAAAATTCTTCTTTCTTTTTGCTGATCTGTTTGAATGAGTTCCACTGCTCTGTCTTCTAGGTTAGTGATTCGTTCTTCTAATTCATCTAATCTCCTGTTGAATCCCACTAATGTATTTTTCAGTTCATATTCTTGAGCTCTATTATTTCTGTTTGGTACTTTCTTATATTTCCCTCTTTTTGTTGATATTCTCACTGTTCATCCATTCTTTGCCCAAGTTGGGTGACCAACTTTATGACCATGAGTTTGAACTCTTTTTCAGATAGATGACTTATCTCTGTTTCATTAAGGCATTTTTCTCAGGTTCGGTCTCTTTCATTTGGAAACTATTCCTCTGTTTCCCATTTTGCTTGACTGTCTGGGCTGGCCTCTATGTAACAAGCGAAAGAGCCCCCTCTGCCAGGCTTGAAGGAATGGCTTTGTGTAGGAAATGAACCTTATCATTCAGCTTCGCCCTAGCTCTTGGTTGTCTCTTACACCTTTATGATTGTCCAGGAAGCCTGATTTTTTTCTTGATGGGTCCCAGAATGTGCCAAGACCTGTCTGTTCCTAAGGGGGTGATTACATTCAGCACCCAGATTCAGGCTGATTGGAAGCCAGATCTGCAGGTAACAGCTTTTAAAGCATGCAGGGGCTGCAGTCACAGTCCCTGCTGACCTCCAGACTGGGAGATCTGGTCTGGAGGTGTCTCATGGGCGACAGCTGCAAGAATGGGGCCTTGAGAGGAGTGTGGAAGCTCCTTGCTGGGAGGCACCAGTGAGCCGGGGTGAAGCCAAGGGAAGGTGCAAGAGTGATGTCTCCCTGCCTGCTTTCCTTGAGGGCACCTCTGTAGCCCTCAGGTGTGTGGCAAACCTGAGGCCAATCCCGCAGGTTGAAGCTTCAGGACAATTAAATGGGCCTTTTTCACACGCAGACGGGTTGTGTTTCAGTCTCCTATGTGGTGTCCTGGGTGTGGTATCCTGTGAGAATACCACAGAATTTTCTGATAGAAAAATGTTCAGCATTTTCTGAGAAAAAAAAAACTAAGCGTTTTCTGATAGAAGAAGGGCTTTTTGTCATAATGCGTCAGAATCTACGCCTTAGAGTTGATGTGTTTTGTATTAGTGTCACAGCATAAAAGCATATTACAAGGCTTAAGGATTCAAGGTCTCTTTATAGAGTTAGCATTGCTCTACAATGAATGAAAGCCACCATGCTTGTGTTTTGATTGGACATCCCTTTGGTGTCAGTTGTTTGAAAGTCAGTGATATTTGCCACTGAAATTCACATCTATAGACTTATTATATACTGCCTTGGAACTTTGTTTTTAAGTGACACTATGCATACAGACTTCATTTCTTTTTCTATCAAGAAGTGTACTTAATTCTCCGTGTTATCCTTGACTCTTTAAGTGCTATGCTATAATGAGAATATGTTGTGTCTTACTGTTAAACTCTAATTATGTATACTTTCTAAGACAGTCCTCTGGACCCTATAAATGTGAATTTTGATGTAATAAATGCTAATAAAATTATACTGAAACAGTAAAAAACAAAAGTTAAAAAGTTAAAATGGCTTTCTGATTGCTATGGTCCTGCAGGCCCCAGGATCACAAGCCCCTCTGGTCATCAGAGTCAGGCAACCGGCGTTCCCTGTGGGGAACCAGCGTTGGCAAGGTTGGGAAGGAGCGCAGGGACAGGGCACATCTGCTTTCAGTGGTGCAGGAGGAGAGCGCGGGGGGCCCACACCCTCAGCTTTCAGGAGGCCGTGTCTCCGCATGCCCGTCTGCACCCCGAGGGAGGGGGAGAGTGCAGAATGGCGTTTTCCAGCACCTCTCCCGCCCCAGGATAACCCTGGATACTCCCGGCCCCTCTGGCTGAAGCTTTAAGACTAGCAACTGCATTTCCTTCATGTGTAATCCGGTCACCTCTCAAACTGCTGCCTTTGCTCTGGTTCCCAGGATGAATCTCTGTGTTCGAGCTCCTCAACAGGAGTATCTCAGATCCCCACAGCACCCCAGGTCCCACTGGTTTCAGAGCCGGATGTTTTGGGGACCTCATCTGACTGGGATGGGTCCCAGGGTTGGGGCACCGGATGTGGGGCACAGACAGACCCTTCGCTCCTCAGGGAGGGGCTCTGCCCGTGAGATCCCTCCTTGCTATGTGGGGGTTTTGGTGAGGCTGTGTCTCTGCCTCTCCAGGGGGAAGAGGTGAGTTCAGGGTCTTTGTGTATCACCATCTTGATTCAGGGCTCTAAGTGATTTTTACTTTCATCTAATGGCTAATATACCTTTTAATTTTTAAGAGGAAGATCTCTTGTTGCCTTCCCCTTTTATTTTTTAATTAAAAAATTTTTATTTATTTATTTCTGGCTGCATAGCATCTTTATTGCTGTGTGTGGGCTTTCTCTAGTTGCAGGGAGCAGGGGCTACTCTCTAGCTGCGGTGCTCCAGATTATCACGGGGTGAGGGGGTGCTTCTTGCAGAGCGCAGGCTCTAGAGCGCGCACAGGCTTAGTTGCCCTGTGGCATGTGGAATCTTCCCAGATCAGGGATCGAACTGTGTCCCCTGTATGGGCAGGCAGAGTCTTAACCACTGGAGCAGTCAACTCATATGCTTTTTAAGTTTAAAGAAATGTTAGGGGCTTCCCTGGTGGTCCAGTGGTTAAGAATCTGCCTTGCAATGCAAAGGATGCCGGTTTGACCCCCAGTCCGGGAAGCTCCCACGTGCCTCAGGGCAGCTGAGCCCGTGTGCCGCAGCTACTGAAGCCTGTGTGCCCTAGAGCCTGTGCTCCTCAGCGAGAGAAGGCACTGCAGTGAGATGCCCAAGCATCGCAGCTCGAGAGTGGACCCTGCTACCTGCAAATGGAGAAGGTCTGTGCAGCGACAGAGACAAGGCACCACCAAAAATAAATAAGTGTTTTGCTTTAAAATGCTCCCAATAGAAAACAAAAGAAGGAAAACCTTAAAAAAAATGTTTTAACTATTTTTCATGGAACTTTACACACACACAAGTCATGAGAATAGTACAATGAAATCCCAGACACTTACCACCTGGGTTTAAGAATGGCTTCTTGTTTCATATATTCTGCTTACCTTTTTTGCTAGAGTATTTAAATCAAATCCTAGGCATCATGTTACTTCATCCAGAAATACTTCATTTTGTATCTTTTACTGATAAGGATTAAATTCGGGTTCAGATTCTTTGGCAAGAGAATGTAGTGCTGTATTTATTGTATGTTGCCTTACATGAGAAAGAGCATAATATCTTGTTGTTTCACTGCAGATACACATATAGAGATTTAGTGAGTATGTGGTGGTTTCCATTCACTCACTTGTTTATTAATTGTTTACCATGTGCTTGGCTCTGGGTTGAACATTGTTAAAAAGGAAAAAAACCTTCCAGTCATAAAGTAACACTGTAACAATGGTTGAAAACATAACAAAAAAAAGAAGCTGACCTGGGTAATTTTTTGTTTTTAATCTTTCATCCAGTATGTTATTATGAAAATTTTCAATCATACAAAAAATTGGAAAGAGTTACCCAGTGCACTAGCATTCCAGTCCTCATATTTTTTCTTTTTTAAAGGTTTTATTGAGGTACAGTTGATTTACAGTGTTGTGTTAGTTTCTCATGTACAGCAGACTAATTCAGTTACACACACATATATAAATTCTTTTTCATATTCTTTTCCAGCATTTTAACAGTGAAAGTTTTATGAAGCAGGTGGTTAAACCGCCAGTAGGAACTTTTTGGCTTAGATATGGGCTCCCCTGGTGGCTCAGACGGTAAATGCAGGAGACCTGGGTTCTATCTCTGGGTCCTATCCCTGGGTCGGGAAGATCCCCTAAATAAGGGAATGGGTATCCACTCCCGTATTCTTGCCTGGAGAATTCCACAGACAGAAGAGCCTGGCGGGCTACAGGCTTAGATAATATGATGAGTAGGAGGGAGATTTAAAAATCGTTCCCATGAGGAAATTGAACTTCAGGAACTGTAAAGTGATGTGTCCAAGGGTTGCCCGCCCAGTGTGCTAGAGCAGACACCTGCAAGAAGGTTGCAGGCTCCCTGTGTCATGGTCCTCTTTCTTGGTGGAGGTACCTGTTTTGGCCACAGGGAATTGGGAGGTCTTTGGAGGCAGCTGGAGCTGCCGTGGAGTCATGATTCTGGGCAGAGGAGGCAAATGTTGCCCAGGTGTGGGTGCTGGGCCCTAGGAGGCTGCCCTACTCCCTCTGACCTGGGTTACAGACAGGGGGGTCAGCTCCTGGTCTGCTAGTCGTCTGATGGGCAGGCGCAGAACTCCTGGCATGTGTGGCTGCATCAGCCCCCAGTCTTTGAGACTGCTAAGGGTGTCCCACCTCACCTGACTGCTTTCTTTTCTGAATCCTCACTGTACTGAATCAATACCAGTTGACCTAAGATGTACCTGTCTTCTGTTTCCTGTGTTGCCCACTGAGACCGTAGCTTTGTATATACATGTGGCACCTATGATGGCCCTGGTCGCCCGGAACAGCCCTGTACAAGCTGGTGAAAGTGAACGTGTTAGTCACTCAGTTGTGTCTGATTCTTTGCAACCCCATGGACTGCCACCCTTTAGGCTCCTCTGTCCATGGAATTCTCCAGGCAAGAATACTAGCGTGGGTTACCATTTCCTTCTCCACGGGAGCTTCCCGACCCTGGGATCAAACCTGGATCTCCTGCATTGCCTGCAGATTCTGTACCGTCTGAGCCTCGGGGAAACCTGTGCAAGCTGTCAGTGGCCAGTTTTTCCTGACCAGGCTCTGCTTCTTTGATGACAACCGTCTTTCCCTCTCCAGGGGACGAGCTGCCGGAGCTGGACAACATGGCTGACAATTGGCTGGGCTCCATCGCCAGAGCCACGATGCAGACCTACTGTGATGCCATCCTGCAGATCTCCGAGCTCACCCCACACTCCACCAAGCAGCTGGCCACCGACATCGGTGGGTCCCCACGGCGGGCAGGGGAGGGCCTGCTCTCCAGGAAGGTCGGCCCAGGTCTCCTCTCAGCTTCAGCTCGGGGTTGGTCTAGGAAGCTTTGTTAAAAATGCAGATTCTCCAGTCCCCGCCCCCAGAGGTTCTGACGTGACAAGTCTGGGTGGAAGCCTGGGCACCAGTAGTTTGCCAGATGTCCCCGGGGATTCTCATAGCTGCCAGGGCCGAGAGCCGTGCAGGGGTGCCTTGGTGAGACACAGTGGGATGGGTGAGGCAGACTGGTGTGATGCCACCCTGCCTTGTCTTGCCTTGCCTTCTGCTCGTCCATATAATCATCATCCCAACTGACGTTGATTAAGCGCTCACTACGCGCAGGCATGCAGGTGCTGAGCCAAGCTCTCGCGCCCACTGTCTTATGCAATCTTCAAAACTCCCCTGTGAGGTCGGCGCTCCTGCCTTCAGCGCTCTGATAAGGAAACGGGGCACAGAGCACTTGCGTCACAAGGCCACCTTGCCAGGGTCGCCCTGCAGTCTCCACCCCGAGTACCTGCCTGATTCCCAGGTCAAGGGGTGTGTGCCCGTCTCCTCCCGCTGGCGCACATCCCTGGAGGTGATGCCGCCCTGGGGGGAGGTGCTCTGAGGTTGGGGTGCTGCAGGCAGATGGTTGGAGTGTCTCCCCAGTCTCTTGGTATCATTCCAGTGACTTGCCGGCTCTTTCGCTGGAGGCAGCTCTTAGAGCAGTCAAGGGAGTGGGTGGTGGGAGCCTTGAAGAGTAGCAGCCTGGGGACCCAGTCAGGGCTTTGAGTGAGCACAGGGCCAAGCCAGCCTCTGGTTTTGCCGAAGCAGAAATAGAAGTGAGATGCTTTCCTCCGGGTCTCGGGGCAGTGAGCGACGGAGCCAGGCCTCGAACAGCTGCGTGACTCCCCTCACGGTTCTCATTTGTGGCCAGCTCTCAGCAGTTACAGAGCAGCGGCCAGCTCTCGTCCTGTCACGGGGCACGTGTTCAGAGAAGAGACGAAGAGGTCCCCATGTTCATCGGTGGTCCCTGTTAGTACAGGCGGGAGCAGAGGGGAGAACCAGCAGAACTAGCGAGTGAGATTTGGGGGCGGCCCCTAGAGTCCACTTGTCCACACGTCGCCTTCCCCCACTGTTCGGCTCCCGTCCAGATCCACCTGTTCACTCGCTCAGCAGTGACTGAGCATCTGCTGCATGGCAGCCGTTGTGCTAGGAGATGGGATAGAACCAGAGAGGTTTGGACAGTTTCTGTGCTCACTGAGCTTCCACCATGAGGGAGTGAGTGGGCTCAGGGCCCAGGAAGCTGCCCGGTGGTATCACAGTAGGAAGCGGTGAGGTCTATGGCAGCGCATGGACATTTTATTTTATTTTATTTTTTTCATTTATTAGTTGGAGGCTAATTACTTCACAACATTGCAGTGGGTTTTGTCATACATTGACATGAATCAGCCATGGAGTTACATGTATTCCCCATTCCGATCCCCCCTCCCACCTTCCTCTCCACTCGATTCCTCTGGGTCTTCCCAGTGCACCAGGCCGGAGCACTTGTCTCATGCATCCAGCCTGGGCTGGTGATCTGTTTCACTATAGATAATATACATGCTGTTCTCTTGAAATATCCCACCCTTGCCTTCTCCCACAGAGTCCAAAAGTCTGTTCTGTACATCTGTGTCTCTTTTTCTGTTTTGCATATAGGGTTATCATTACCATCTTTCTAAATTCCATATATTTGTGTTAGTATGCTGTAATGTTCTTTATCTTTCTGGCTTACTTCATTCTGTATAATGGGCTCCAGTTTCATCCATCTCATTAGAACTGATTCAAATGAATTCTTTTTAACGGCTGAGTAATATTCCATGGTGTATATGTACCACAGCTTCCTTATCCATTCGTCTGCTGATGGGCATCTAGGTGCACATGGACTTTTTAAAGACACAAAGTTAAGCATTGAAACAAAAACACTCTTGCTGTCTGGACAGAAGATGTTGTGGTAGATCGTGGGCTGCTGCTTCGCAGGTCCTGGCCTGCAGTCGAGGGGAGCCCACAGTTTTATGGGTGCACATGGGCTGGAGGCAGGTGCCTGACTAGTTGTTGGTGCCCTTCCTGGGAAGTGGCTTGTCTGAGGGGGCCGTGGGGTCGGGCAGCCAGGACAGAGCAGGCACCATCTACAGGCTGTGCCCTGAGCTGGGTCTCGGAAAGAAGACCCAGGGAAGATAGAGCCATGCTGGAGCACCAGCCTATCAGGGAGGAGAGATTGATGCGGGCGGTGATCAGAAAGTAGGGAGGAACTTGCTGGGTGATGTGTCTCCCAGCCCCTGGCAGCAGGAAGAGAGGGAGGAGCCGGAGCGCGCTGGCCGCGCTGCCCAGGAAGGAGGAAGGGAAAGAGCGCCCAGTTATCGGCCACCTGCGTCACGTGGGGTGTGTTCATGGTCCTTCACCCACTTCACCCCTGAGCGATGCTGCCCCAGGGTGCTGACTGCCTCCACGGGTGGAAGCGGAGACACCGGGGTCGGACGGGTCACCGAGGTCACCCCGGCCTTGGAAACTTGGTTTTCTCATCCACTCTGCCCGAGCTCGCCTGCCAGTTAGGACGGGGCGCGCTGCTTTTCTTAAGGACAGGCCCCTCACACCGTCTTGGAGACTCATCGACTGGGCCTGGGGGTGGGCTTGGGAGTCTGTCTTCACTTGTACTCCAAGGGGTTATATCTGGAATGTGTGGAAACCACATTACCCCGGGGATTGCCCCCAGCACCAGCTGCATGCCGCCTGTAGGGGCTCTGCAGGAGCTGCTTAGATAAACCCTGTGTCTCCTGACCCCTTGGGTTTTCCGTGTGGTCAGTGGGGGCCACTGGGGAGCAGGGCTGGGAACCCAGGAGTTCTCAGGGTAGAGTTTCAGCTGAGGTCGGCTGATGGGGCTGCAGAGATGAGTGTGTGGTGGCGATGTTGGCGACTCCTTCATTCATTTAGAATTCCTAGACCTGGGCTCGCAGTCATATTTGACTGTCCTGTAAAGCACTGTCAGAGTGAAGGCCTGCAGGCTGAGAGCAGGCGTGGCAGCCAGCATCGGGGCAGGGGAAGGGGGGTTGGGAACGGGTTGGGGCAACGTCTTGTTTCTTTTTTTTTTTTTTACGTCTTGTTTTTTACTCCGGGGAGGTCCTTGGGGCTCGTCCACTTGGTCCTGAGTCTGTTGGTCTATGTCTGTCTGCTTCCCACCCCACAGACTACCTGATCAACGTGATGGACGCCCTGGGCCTGCAGCCGTCCCGCACCCTCCAGAACATCGTGATGCTCTTGAAGGCCAAGCCTGAGGACTACAGACAGGTCAGCAAAGGCCTGCCCCGTCGCCTCGCCACCACGGTGGCCGCCATGCGGAGTGTGGACTACTGACCCCTACGCCCCCGGCTGACAAGAGGGTCAGAGCCACAGGACTGTCCAGAATGGACTTGCTCTAAAAATCCACCTGGGATTGGGCAGAACTTGTTTCAAAAGGACTTGGTTCATTTGTATAATTTTTTAAAAAAGGCTATAAATTAGAGGTTAATTATTTATTAGGAATTTTCAGATAATTTTTTTAAATGATTCCATCTTGAAAGTGCAATTAATAAATACTGTGAAATGAAAGAAGACCGTTTTCTTTCTGTCTTTACTCAGTGAATATTGGGGTGCTTCCCATGTGTTATGCTGTCCACACTGGGATTCAGCTGTGAAGGAGATCAAAGCGGGAAGGGACAGAGAATTGGCAGGTAAACTGACTAAGGTCTGGCTTCCCTGGTGGCTCAGAATGGTAAAGAATCTGCCTGCAATGTGGGAGACCCAGGATTCGATCCCTGGGTTGGGAAGATGCTCTGGAGAAGGGCATGGCAATTCACTCCAATATTCTTGCCTGTGGAATTCCATGGACAGAGGAGCCTGGTGATCTAAGTCACGAAGAGTCATCCTCGATTGAGCGACTAACACTTTCACTTTCCTTTCAGACTAAGATCATCCCAGATGTTAGTGCTGGAGGCCCAGAGGGCATCAGGTGGCAGTGGCCTGGGAAAAACTGGGCGGGCAATCCCGGGACCTAAAGGATGAGGGTTGTGCGTGGTGACGAGATCTGGAGGAGTGCTCAGGCTGAGGGCAAAGGTGGACCAGGCCCTGGGCATGTCCGCGGTCGGCAGTGGGAAGTGGGAAGCTGGAGATAAGGTCAGGGAGGAAAGAGGGGTAGATCATAGCAGGTCCTGCAAGCCATGGTAAGGACTTCGGCTTTCTCTTTTTCAAAAAACCCGCCAGGTGATGTAGATTCTGTCAGGTTTTTTTCTTTTTTTTTTTTTTAATTAACTTTTGACTGAAAATCCCTGTTGCTGCACGCGGGCTTTTCTCCAGTTGCAGCAAGCGGCGGCTACTCTTCGTTGCAGTGCTCAGGCTTCTCACTGCGGTGGCGTCTCCTGTTGCAGAGCACAGGCTCTAGAGCACGGGGCTTTAGTAGCTGCTGCACGTAGGTTCAGTTGTGGTGGTTGCCGGGTTTTCGAGCACAGCCTCAGTAGTTGTGGCTCGCAGGCTTAGTTGCTATGTGGCATGTGGGATCTTCCTGGCTCAGGGATTGAACTCGAGTCTTCTGCACTGGAAGACAGATTCTTTACCACTGAGCCACCAGGAAGCCCTCTATCAGGTTTTTTCTTTCTTGTCAATAGCTTCTGTATCTGTTAAGATTTTAGTTCTCTATAAGTAATGGAATAATGTAATTTGAGTGACTTAAATAAGAATTGATTTTCACTAGTAACAGAGAGTCAAATGGTGGTGGCTATGGGCAACAAAGATCCGTCTGGTCAAGGCTATGGTTTTTCCAGTGGTCATGTATGGATGTGAGAGTTGGTCTGTGAAGAAAGCTGAGCGCCGAAAAATTGATACTTTTGAACTATGGTGTTGGAGAAGACTCTTGAGAGTCCCTTGGACTGCAAGGAGATTCACCTAGTCCATCCTAAAGGAGATCAGTCCTGGGTGTTCATTGAAAGGACTGATGCTGAAGCTGAAACTCCAGTACTTTGGCCACCTCATGCGAAGAGTTGACTCATTGGAAAAGACCCTGATGCTGGGAGGGATTGGGGGCAGGAGGAGGAGGGGATGACAGAGGATGAGATGGCTGGATGGCATCACCGACTCAATGGGCATGAGTTTGAGTAAACTCCGGGAGTTGGTGATGGACAGGGAGGCCTGGCGTGCTGCAATTCATGGGGTCGCAAAGAATCAGACATGACTGAGCGACTGAACTGAACTGAACTGATGGGCACTGATTGAGTGGCTGGACCGAGTCAGGACCAGCCTCTCTGTGATCTTGATGTTCCCCTACAGGCCTGGTGCCTCATCCTCCTGCAACTAGGTACAGCATCTGCATTCAGAGAGGAAGGAGGCAGAGAGGGGGTGGCCGAGCAGCAGTTCTATCCCTTCCACTGGGGAGGCAGAGGCCTTCCCAGAGCCCCACCCGTGACTTCCTCCCAGGCCTCATGGCCATGTTGGGTCACCAGGCATCTCCCCAGCTGCAAGCAAGGCTGGGAGCACAGGAGCAGGACTGACGTCCGCCAGGCTGGACAGCTCTGTTGTGGGGCGTCCTGTGTGCTGTGGGGTGTTGAGCAGCATCACTGGCCTGCACCCACTGGATGCCCTAGTTGTGACAACCAACAGTGTCTCCAGACATGGTTCAGGAGGCAAAACCACCTCTGGTATAGAGACCCTGGCTTAGACCATGCAGCATTTCTTGCTGCCTAAACAAACGGGGAGAAGGGGAGGCAGCCGAGTCTCTCACAGGCTCCTTTTGAAGTGAACTGCACCGTGTTCTGAGCCTGGGTGGGCTTTCCTTGTTTCCTAGCCATTGTTTCCTAGCCATTGCCTCACATTCCCGTGGAGCCTGGGAATATTTCAGACACAAAGGAACTGCAGGTTGGAGAGCTCTAAGGGGCTTGCCCAGAGGCACTCAGCGGCCATGTGCAGGGCTGGGAGCCCAGAGGCGCCAGCTCCACCTAATCCCACCCAGCTCAGCCTGCCCATGCCAGCCCCCTGGGAGGGGCATCCCTGTGACCTCGGCCTCTGAAACAGCCCCACCAGGCTGTCAGGGCCGGGTCTCCCTCTGGGTCTGTCTCCTGGGGATTCCCACACCTTCTGTTTCCCCACGTCGTTGGAAACAGTTTGGCTGGCCCTGAAAGAGCATCAGCTGCAAGCTCACACCAAGAAAAATATTTTGGTTTCTCGCGTGGTGGATCACAGACATCCATGGCAGGGATCAAGCCTGGCTCCTCCCTCGAAGTGGGAGCTGGAGACCTAGAAGGTGGAAAGTGCTGCTTTGAAGTGGAAACCTCTTTGCAGGGACCTCTGCCAGTGTCGGTGAGCGCCGCTAAGACAGGCTCGGGCTTGGTTCCAGTTTTGTCACCATCCAGCTGTGTGACCTTGGGAAAGTCATTCACCTCTCTGAGCCTTGTTTCCAAATCTGGAAAACAAGGGTCAGAATGGTACCTAACTCATAGGGTTATTTGAAGAGTGCTTGAGATGAGATGAAGAGCTTCCCTGGTGGCTCAGAAGTAAAGAATCTGCCTCCAATGCGGGAGACCCAGGTTTGATGCCTCGGTGGGGAAGATCCTCTGGAGAAGGGAATGGCAACCCACTCCAGAATTCTTGCCTAGGGAATTTCATGGACAGAGGAGCCTAGCGGGCTGCTGTCCATGAGGTCCAGAAGAGACAAGACTGAATGACTAACAGCACATGTTAAGTGTATAATAGATGCTAATTCCATAGTTCTCCAGCATCTGTAATTTACTTTCCCACTGGGGATAGTGGTAGGAATTACAGAATGCCATTCCTGGGTAATTTTGGAACTGCTCGACTAATCTTTCAGGCTCTGAAGGGCTAGAATAGGATAGCCCTTCTCCCTTCTAGATCCGGAGGGGAGAGTAATGCCTGTCTGCTGACTAAGAGCCTGCTTTCAGAGGTGGGGCCATCATCCATCTTTACTCCAGCCCTCAGTACTCCCCAGGAGAGGATAGCACCTGATGCCCATGTCAGCCTGGTCCTTTTTCTACAAGCAACTCTGGGGGCTGGAAGCTCCTCCCACTCTTGGTTCCATGTGTCTCTGAGCAAAACCTTTCACAGGAGTCTGTAAGGGACTATCTGCCATAGACCCCCACCCTGGGCAGGCCAGGTAGCATCTCCCATCCTCAGTTCCAGCGATTGGTTCAGGATTAGCATGTGGCCCAGGCTGATCCAAATGAGCCTCATTCTCAAAATTTTTGCTAGGAAAATTTTCTTCCTATTGTGTTGCTGAGCTGAGGAAATGAGTCTGGGACTAAAAGGGAAAGAAAAGCTCATGGAGAGAAACTTATGTAAAACAGATGTCAACACAGAAGATAATAAAGCCAGTAGCTGGAGAAATCACCAGATTGAGGTAAACCCCTGGATACAGCCTTGCCTGAAATCCCTGGACTTTAATTACAAGAACCAATTAATTCCCTTTTTAGCTCAAGTTCAAATTAACTTGTGACCAAAAGGCTGGTAAAAAGAGTTAGATAATAATCATTGCTCTGCCCCATAGCCTCAGATGAGATAATAAATATGAAAGCCCTGGGCTCCTCTGAGGAACTACTATTCTAATGATCACTGGTATTCTCATAGCAGCAAGAGGATGAGGCTGGAGTCTTGCCCTTGTCACTTAGGGTAATAGCAATCTAGTCTAGTAACTTACCTCTCCAAGCCTCAATTTATTTACTTATAAAATGGGATGATCATATTTCTCAGTGGTTATGAGAATTCAATGAAATAAGACTCACAAAGTATACAGTTGGCCTGGTGCCTGGCATGCGGTAAGTGTTTGATACAATACAGTCATTGTTTAAAGACAACAACAAATAATAGTGAGTGTGGTGACAACTACCACTGCTAATAATAAAAGTCCTAGTCATGGTAGTAAGTGTGATAATTACCAAGAACTGTTGACTCCATCCTGCAGACTCAGTCTGGCTCTGAGCTGGGAAACCTGGCTTCCCCCAGACCCGCCCCACTCAATCCCTAGCAATGCTGCCTTTGACTGGAGTGGCACCGCCTTCCTCCACAGGCGCCATTGTGGGCACTTAAAGGGAGCACAGCTTGTTTGCCTTTCAGGCCAAGGACTCTGGTGTTCTAGACCAGCAGGACTGAGACGCCCTGGTCCCAGGCTTTGAAGCCAGCACTCATTCACCAGCAGGGCTGGCAGCTGACAGCAGGGCCCTGCAGTGGTGAACTGTCTGCAGCTGCCAGATCCCATCCTTGGTTGATAATGGCTCCTGATTCCTCTTTGGGAGGCCGACAGTATTGCCATGTTGTTGTTGAGTCATTAAGTCATGTCTGACTCTCTTGCGATCCAATGGGCTGTAGCCCACCAGGCTGTGTGTTGCCATCTTTAGCAATTAAAAACACAGGAAACGCAGTTAAATTTGAATTTCAGAAAAACAATGATTTATTAGCATAATGTTGTTGTTGTTCAGCTGCTAAGACATGTCCGACTCTTTGCAACCCCCTGGATTGCAGCATGCCAGGCCTCCCCATCCCTCACTATCTCCCAGAGTTTGCTCAAGTCCATATCCAGTGAGTTGGTGATGCTATCCAACCATCTCATCCTCTGCCACCCTCTTCTTTTGCTTTTAATCTTTCCCAGAGTCAGGGTCTTTTCCAATGAGTCATCTGTTTGCATCAGGTGGCCAAGATATTGGAGCTTCAGCACCAGTCCTTCCAGTAACTATTCAGGGTTGACTTCCTTTAGGATTGACTGGTTTGTTTTCTTGATTATACTAGTACAATATGCCCCCAATATTACATGGATGTCTACTAAAAAATTAATTTGCCTATCTAAAGTTCCAGTTTTGGGCTTCCCTGGTGGTTCATTGGTTAAGAATCTGCCTGTAATGCAGGGACACCAGTTTGATCCCTGGTCCGGGAAGATCCCACACACCACAGGGCAACTAAGCTAGTGCACCACAACTACACTGCCTGTGCTCTGGAGCCCTTGAGCCACAACTACTGAAGCCTGCTTGCCCTAGAGCTGATGCTCCACAACAAGAGAGGCCACTGCGATGAGAAGCCCGTGCACCATAATGAGGAGCGGCCCTGCTTGCCAAAACTAGAGCAAGCCTGCACGCAGCAACAAAGACCCAGGCAGCCAAAAGTAAATTAAAAAAAAAAAGTTCCAGTTTAACTTGGTGGCCTATATTTTATCTGGCACCCCTAGGAACCATGTCCCCACCACCCTCAGACCACGTGGTTCTGCGGAGGGCCAAGGGGCCTTAGGTATTGGCAGGGTCTGATCAATTCCGGCAGCCTACAAACGGGGCACACTGATTGGTTCAGAGGCCGGCATGTGACCCACTCAGTGACCAATGAGAGTCACCCTGGGAGCTCGCTGAGACAATTGGGAAAGGGAGGCTCTCTCCTAGCTGGGTTTGCTAACCTGGAGATGTGAGTTTGCAGTTGCAAATGCCCTTTGCTGCTATAATATAAGGCGAGCCTGCCTGGGAAGGCAGAGAGAACAGACATCCTTTGAGCTGCTGGAGATGCTTGTGATTAAGCCAGTTTTTAGTTTTAAGGATTTATCCCACCTTACCTCCTTCCCTCGCTCTCTCGGTTCTGGAAACCCAAAGAAATAAGTTGGACAACACTGAAAAAGGCATAAGCTCACTGTTTCAGGGACGACTTGAAGGAAACTTAATCCCCAGCTTGGGCCTCTCCCTGGCCATGTCTCTGTTCTCAAGTCAGCACTGATGCCCTTCTACCCACCAGAGATGCATCAGGGCGCTCTGGATGCTCAGCCCGACAAAGAGGAAAACTAGACTCTATGTTTTCCACTTTTATTTTCCAGAACAAAACATGTGCCGCCTGGCAAGACCCTGATGCCTGCTCTCCACCAACTCTACCCTCACTCAGTTCATTCACCAGGTCAGCTGAGGCAGGAGGAAAAGAAGGCTCCTTCTGGGGTCAGAGGGCACAGTGTGTCTGTCTGCCTGCCTTCATCTCTGGGGCAGACGGTGACTGTCACTGGGAGGGAAGTGGCCTGCCTCCAGGGGACAGTGCTTTGGGTCTTGGATCCCAGGCCAAGGGTTGGGTCAGGTTGAGGGTGTGGGCAGGAACATAGTTCCCATATCCATACCAGCACCGTGATCCCTCGGAACCCTCAGCCTGGGGCTGGCCAAGAGCTGTTGGCCTCACTGTGGAGGGACCTGAACTCTAGCCTTGGGCGATGTCTCAGCTGCTCAGGTTTGAATTCTTGGCCCGCAGGGAGGGGCAGGGCAGGCTCTAGATGGCATCACCCTCGCTGTCAGACTCGATGACATCCAGCGGCTGCAGGCGCAAGGAGTCATAGTTGGGGGGTGGGGTGCCCGGGATGGGCGGGTTCTGCTCATGCGGGTAGGCCCCCGAGTTAGGGCCGGGTGTGGTTGAGTCCGGCTGGAAGCCAAAGTTGGTGTGCGCCTCCACTAGCTCGGCCACGGTGGGTGGCGGGCCCTCATAGCGAGCCTGGGCCCGCTTCTGCCGCACGCTCTTGGCAAGGGCCACCAGCTTGATGATGGTGATCCACACGAAGTCGATGATGATCTCCCCGAACTCAATGAGGCAGAGCACCGAGCCCCCCATCCAGAAGCCGAACTGTCCGCCCAGGTTCGAGAGCAGCCAGACGATCTGCAGGGAGCAGGGGGGTGAGGACCTGGCCGGGGTGGGAGGGTTGGGCCACAGATCTCTGCCTCAAGCCCAACCTCATGGCTTCCTGAGAGGTGAGTTGGTGGCCAGAAGGGGAGAAAAGGTGATCATCTCAGCCCAGGGAAGTAATCTGGGAGTGCCTATGGGAACTTCCTGCTTCCCTGGTGGTTCAGCAGTGAAGAATCTGTCTGTCAGTATTGCGTCCCACTCCACTGGGTCGCAAAAATATTGAACACGACTGAGCGACTAAACAAGTAAGTAAGTAAATAACGTTAGTCTCAGTCTTATCCGACTCTTTGCGACCCCATTGACCGTAGTCTGCCAGGCTCCTCTGTCCATGGGATGTTCCAGGCAAAAATATTGGAGTGGGTTGCCAGTTCCTTCTCCAGGGGATCTTCCAGACCCAGGGATCAAACCTGGGTCTCCCGCATTGCAGGCAGATGCTTTTACCATCTGAGCCACCAAGGAAACCCATAAATGACAAGGGACCCTCCTAATTCCTCCGCTGGGCTCTGGACCCTCCCCACCCTCAGGCTGCAGGGTGGAGGGGCAGCAGGCAGGGCTGAGGTGTCAGGAGCCCCCAGACTCACGTTATTGGCTGCTGACTCTTCAATGGTGCGATAGTTGAATTCTTGGAAGTAGATATTGAGCTTGACAATCCCCTTCCTGCAGGAGGCAGCAAAGGGAACTGGTGCCCTCTCCCCAAGGCGCGCGCGCGCGGACACACACACACACACACACACACACACGGGAAAGGTATCCTCCTCTGGCTCAAGCTTCCCATGTGCCCACCCGCAGGAGTGGAGAGTTCAAACAAGAACCAGGAAGGGCCCTCTAGGCCTTGGGGTCACAAAAGGCACCTCTGCCCAGCACCCCTTCTGTGCACCCCTTTCTGAACCAGCTCTCCAAAGGACCTGTGGACCAAGACAGTCCTGAGGATCAGCTCTGAGCTCCGCTTGGCCACTCCCAGTACAATAGACTTGACAGAGAGTCCTAGGCCTTGGCCCGCTGTCAGGGGACCCGGGGCAGGGAAGTGTGGCCAATGCACCTGATGGTCCTCAGAAAGGTGATGCTCTCTCATACGTCCAGCCTTCTGCTGGGACATCAGTGCCTCTTCCTATTTGTCTAAACAGTTACTCCTCCTCCTTAGGGGATTAGCTCAAGGGTTACCTCCCTATACAGACCTCCCTTATCTCTCAGGAAGAAGACGCCTTCTTCCCTGCTGGGCTCCCTGAGAAAGGGTACTGTGCAGACTCCCACCACCAAAGCCCTGTTCATGTATTTCTAGATTTGAAGTTCCTGATAGAATGAAAGCTCCTGTCTTTCTTGTGCTCAAGGCCTACTTGTGTTGAATGGATGGAAAGATGCATGAATGGGTGGAGGTTGGGTGGGTGGATGGATGAGTGGAAGAATGGAAGGACGGATGATGGAGGGTGAATGGATGGATGGATGTGAATGGATAGAAGGATGGGGAGATGATTGGAAGGATGGATGATGGGTAGATGGGTGGACGGGTTCAAGGATGATAGGACTGGAGGGGTGGATGGATGAATGAACAGGTTGTCCTTTAGGAAAGAGTAGGCTCTGAGCCCCCCTGGCTGGCCTCTCTCTCACTCCCAGTACTTCCCTCTCCAGGCTTGCTTCTGGATCTGACCAGTGTGAGAAGGTGTCTGAGCAGCTGCCCTGTGTCCAAGCCCCTCCCCCAAGGCTCCGGTTCCTCTTTCCTGCCCTCCCTGGCCCGTCCAGACTCTGAGCTCACCTGCTCAAGGTGATATTGCTGCTTTGGTCCCGCTCCTGAGACAAGACATGGAAAATCCAGTCCTGGAACCCAAAAAGGCAACTGAGAACAACGGTGCCAACAGCATCCCTGCCCAGGCATGGGCCCTGCTACCCGTGGGAGGCAGACCACAGCCCTGGGGACTGTGTGTGTGCCCAGGGAGAGACGGGAAGGGCACTGGGTCTCCAGGCTCTGCCCCATAGGCCTGGCCTTCCTGCTTCAGTTCTTTCCCACAGCAGGCCCTTGCACTTGCTGTTCCCTCCGCCCAGGTCCTTCCCAGACCTGCGCAGGCTGGCTCAGCCCCATCCTCCAGTTTTAGCTCAGATACACCTTTTTAGAGAGGTGGGGAGGAGGTGGTCTTCCCTGACCACCCTGTCTAGAGTGCTTTCCCCCAGTTACCCTTTCGGCATCTGGTTTACTCCCTACATAGCCCTTGGAAATGATCTTATTTCTGTATATTGTCTGTCTCTGCAGCTGGAAAGTAAGCTCCAGAAGGGCAAAGGACTGTCTGTCCCATTCACTGCCGTGTTCCCAGCACAGTCCTTGGGGGACACGGGTGAAGAGGAGGGAGTGGAAGGTGGGAGGAATTCCCTTCTAAAGTTCCAAACAGCCTGCAGACCTCCGGCCACACCTGCCTCCCATCCGAAGCTGGGTGGCCAGGAGCTTGGCCGCTCCCCTGACTCACCTCAGAGGCCTCGGAAGGCCAGACGGCCATGGAGATGGTCATCTTGTACTGAGTGTCACTGGAAGAGATGTCAGCCCATCGTCACTGTCCCCGCCCGCCCCACCCTCCACTCCCGCCCCCGCCCATCCCCTCTCCGTGTGGACTCACTTGCAGGACTCCTTGCAGGCGTAGATGCAGGCCTCCCTCTGTGCCATGCTGATGCGCAGGGCAGAGTAGCAATGGGCTGGGTGGGAGGGGGTGGGGGGGAGAGATTTTGAGCCAGGCTTTCTGCTTTGAGCCTCTGGCCGCCCTCTGATCTCCTGGCCCTGAGCCACCTAAGGCCTGTGGTTAGGTTGAGTGGGAAGCGTTGTCTCGATCCAAACTCCCCTCTTTACGGAAAATCACCCACCCTGGGTGCCCCCTCTCCAACCATTTGGCCCCAGTCTGGCCAGAGGGACTCCCTCCCCAACACCCCAGCCCCAGCTCAGGAGGATCAGAGCAGCTTTCCCTCCACCTGTCATCCCTGAGCCTGGCGGGGGGCAAGCTAGGGCCAGGGGTTCATGTGGGGAGGGGTGGGCGTTGGAAGGGATAAAGTTCTCCCCTCCTGTCCACGCATGTTGTTAGTTTTTTAAGAGGTGGTGGGGCTCCCTCTGCCGCTGACAACATCCATCGGTGTTTGGATGACTCCGGCTCAGTGTGAGCCCAGAAAGGGCTCCCCTTCTGCTAACTTCAGGTCTCAAGGACAAACTCCCTCCCGAACTTACACGTTTCACGTGTACACTTAAAGGCGTCAGGGAGCTGGGGGTGGGAGAAGCCAGGGCAAGAGGGGCCGTGGACGGTGGAGCCCCCCACCCCGCCGCTTGCGGTCACAGCCTTTGTGGGCAGAGGCCCAGCGGGCTGGGGGGGCCGGTCCCCGGGGGCGCTCCCCGCTCACCCCAGTCCGGGAACTCCTGGTTGTTGCAGTATTTCCTCTTGTGGGGCAGCGGGTACAGGTAGTGGCCACAACCACATTCCCGAATCATGTGCTCCTGGAAGCAGGAGCGGATACAGCCCTGGGGGTGGTGGGAAGGGGCAGAGAGAAGGCAGACTTGAAGGTGATGTCCCCACCTCAGCCCCAGGGGGACGGGGCCCAGGCAGCTGGATGCCCAGGCCGGGGGTGCTGGGGGAGCTGAGGAGGTGCCCTTCCCGTGGAGAAGGGTGGTGAGGTGGCTAAGTTTCCTCCCCCCTACCCCTCGAGGTGGGAGGTGGCAGTCCTTCCCTGGCTCTGTCCCCACAGAAGGACTCAAGCCAGAACCCAGCTCTCTGAGGCTGGCCCCACAGATGACACGGGGAGAGGAGGCTTGTTCCAACCCTAAAGCTACTTCTCGGGGACTTCCCTGGCCGGCCAATGGTTAGGACCCTGTGATTCCATGGCAGGGGTTGTGGGTTCGATCCCTGGTCAGGGAACTAACATCCCAAATGTGTCCACTGTCTCCCCCCAACAACAAAAACAGCTAACTTGTAGATAGCTCTTGTTACAAGGCTGCCAGCAGCCTTCCAAGCCATTTACGTGGAAGGACCCAGGAGAGAAAGCAGGCAAGCTCATTCTGTCTTCCTTCATCCTAGAGGGAAACACTCAGGGAAGGTGAGGAGGGTGATTCGAGTGCTCGGAGCGATGGACAGGAAGTGACCTTCTACAGAATGTCCCCTGGTGGGGGGTGAGGGAAGGTGGGGGAGTCGACCCGGCCCCTTCAGGCTGGATGAGATGAATCTATTCTTTCTGGGTTTTGGGGTCATTCCGACCTGGTTTCAGTCCACGCAGAAACGAGCTACATGTCCCGGGGCCAGCCCTTGCCTCCGAGCCTCAGTTTACCCCTGTTGCTCCTGTGTCTAAGGCGGGGAGGTCACTTGCAGAATGGAAGCAGCCACTCGCCCCGGCTCTCCTGCCCGGCTTCCCAAGTCCGCCTCTGGAGGGCTTCCCGCTCCCACCCTTGCCAAGGTGCTCGCATCCCCTCCCCCGCTCTCCTGCCTGCTGCTTCCCAGGCCATTGCATCCAGTGCTCTGTTCTCCCTGTGACCCTGCAGGCTCCTCGCGGGAAGAAGGTGGGGTGGGCAGGGGGTGTGTGGCAGATGAAACGGCACAGTCGGGAGGAGGGGGTCTGGGGCGAGATGGGGGGCAGTGGGTCAGCAGGGAGCTCTGACCCGGGCCAAGTGTCTGATATTCACCCAGACCTCACTGTCTCACCTGGAAGGTAGGGGCCCTCTCCAGGGTGGGGGCCAAGGGTGGGGCCAGGGCTGGCAGGCAGAGTGCCCGACCAGGGCCTGGGGCTTTGCCAAGGTCTCTGTCCAGGCTGGTGATGGCCCTGGACAAAACGAGACCTGGGGTTTATCTGGAATGGGGTCTCCAGGGCTGGCCTGATGCCTTTGTGTCCACCTTCTCTGTGCTCCCCACCCTGCTGTGCCGCCTTGTCTGGCCATCTGTCCCTCCAGAGGCTTGAAGATGCCTCAAGTTCTCCATTGCAGGCAGAAGCCCCTCCAGATAGGAGGGTCGGAGTGAGGGGTGCTGGACAGAGCGGGCGGGGTGGGTGGGCAGGGGGGACGGTGGAGTCCAGTGACGAAGACGAAAGGGAAAACCACGCCCTGCTCGGGGCTCTCAGATACGGAGCCAGGCCCCGGGCTGCCCCCTAGCCATCCTCAGGGTCCTCATCCGCCAAGGCAGGCTGGACTGGGAGAGAAAGTGTCACTGTGAGCGGTCACTTAGGTCACCTTTGCAAAGAGTTAGTTTGTCCTCTCCTCTGGGGCCAGGTCTGAGGCCAGGCCTCGTGGGCTGACCTTGGAGATCAGGGTAAGAGGTAAGTAAGCCCTAGCTTCAGCAAAGGGGATTAAGGCCAGATACAAAGAGGGACTTAGGAACACTGATGAGGCATTTGGACCAGGGTCTATAAACCCCAATTTCCTTATTCTTAATAATAGCGTCTACATCTTGGTATTGCTATAAGGATTAAATTATATATATATATATATATATATATGTAAAGCACATGGAACGGTGCCTGCCTAGCACATAAGCCTGCTGTTATTAGTATATTATAATAACAATAGTATATTATAATAAATAGTATAGACAATAAATGCTGTTACTAGCATATTAATATATACTAACAATAATTAGCAATTATTATTAGAATATTATTGCCTCATATGGGTAGTGAAAGGATAAAATGATGGTTTAATCCATGTAAACCCTTAATACACACAAAAGCTCTTTTGGGAAACCTCAGAACAAGACCCCAAGGCCACACCTGCCAAGCAAGGACAAGAAGTGGCCAGCCCTGGGCCCTGGTAAGAACCAGGACTAGGCTGGTTCCCTAGCCTCCAGGGAAACTTGTGGTCCCAGATATCCAGCAGAGCCAGCCTAGCTGGGACCAGCTTTCCCAGAGACCTCGGGCCTCAGGCCACCGTCCTCCCACCTGGATGGAGTAGGTCGTGTTGTAGCTGCTGTAAAGGTTTTGGATGGGGACGTCAGAGCCGTTCTTGGTGCACTGGCTGTAGGGCTTGCCCTTGCGCTGCAGCTTGTCCTGTGTGAGAGACCCCTGGTCACCCCGAAGAAGCCCCCTCTGTTCCCCCCTCCCATCCAGCCAGCGGGTCTAGGGGGTGCTCAGAGGGACTGGAGGGCTGACACCCCAGCAGGAGCCAAGGGTGGGAGACACTCATCTTCCCCCAAGCGTGGGGCCCGCTGGGGTTCCAGGCAGAAGGTGAGGCAGGAGTGAATGATGAGGAGGTCCAGGGTTTGGGGATGCCCAGATCCCCTCCTCTCAGGCCCCGGGAGGTGGGCGCTGGGCAGACGGGCTGCAGGCCTACCACGAGCACCCCAATGGATGTCTCCATCCCCGCCATGGCGTAGATGCCCTCTTCCTTGATGAAGGGGTATGACCTCTGCTCATGAAGCATCAGCCGGGCGCCGGCCGTGGACGTGAGGAAGGGCACGTAGTCTTCCTGGCCCATGTCCAGGATCAGCTTTAGGCCTGAGGGGAAGATGGGGTGGAGGGCAGCCTGAGCTGGCTCCCCAAAGCTGAGGGCAGACCCTCCACCCACTGGGCCCAGCCCCCACCAGCCAAGGGAAGGCCAGGGTCTATGCAGGAAGCTAGCTCCACTTTACGCAAACCCAGACTTCTTGCCTTCTCTGAGGCCCCCTTCCTAGTCTGAGCCAGCACGGTCTCCGCTCTGGGCCCCGCCTGCCCCATCCCCACTCCATGGTCTCTTCTACACGGCAGGAAGGTCTAAGGCTGCAGGCCAGGCGGCCTCGCGTCTCGTCTCCAGGGTCCTCTTTCTCTCTGCTCACCCCCTCAGCTGCCATGCTCCTTCTGACTGCTGGGCCTTCGTCAGGCTGTCTTCTCTTTGGAATGCTGTCTCCAGCCTCACCTTGCACCTAGAAACTCCTGCTCTTCCTTCAGGGCTCAGTCCAAGTATCACTTCCTCCAGAAGCCTTCCCTGACTACTTAGACTGGGTCTCGGGATCTCTGTCATACTCTCTCCTTCAGCCTAGAACTCGCCTTCCAAGTACCTGTCTCACTTTTGAAATTTTTCTTTTATTATCTGTCTTCCTTCCCCACTCCACCGTTCTCTTCTTGAAGGTGGAGATCAGACCCAGTATTTTATGAATCATGGTGGGGGATGCTTCTCAGGGAGTGCCAGTGGTAAAGAACCCGCCTGCCAATGCAGGAGATGCAAGAGATGCGGGTTGATCCCTGTGTTGGGAAGATCCCTGCATTGGGAAATGGCAACCCACTCCAGTATTCTTGCCTGGAAGTTTCCATGGCCAGGGGAGCCTGGCGGGCTACAGTCCACGGGGTCACAAACAGTTGGACACAACTCTGGACACATACAAGAAGAAGAAAGGACTGGGCAGGACAAGAAGCTTAGCATTTATTGAGCATTTGCTGCATGCTGAGTGCTGGGCTCAGGGCTTTATTTACATGATCCCACTGGGGCTTGTAAGAGGCATATGAGATAGGTACAATTATTGTCCCCATTTTACAGATGAGGAATCTGAGGCCCAAAGAGAGTATGGGACCTTGTCATAGGTCACTCAATGAGGAAGTGGAAGTTGCTGAACTTCTACAGGCAGCCTTAATCTTAATCATCATTCATCACTGGCGAGTGAGCTAGCTGGCATCTCTGTGATACCCAGTGTCCTCAGGGGCTCAGGGGTGGGTGAAGCATTGGCAGCCCACCCACACCCCTCTAGATCAGCAGCTCTGACACCTGCCTTTTGATGGCTGGGGAGCTCAGAACCTAAGGGTGGGGAGGAAGGATTTGCTCCCCAAGGCCTGGCACACATGCTGAGTCCACCAGCTGCTCCCAAACGAGCAGCTTCTGCCATCAACCACTTGCCTCTTCCTCACTTCTGTTTACTGCTTCACCTTCTCTCTGTCTCTCACGAACCGCATAGAAACGAGGCTGAGAGTAAGGGCTCTGCCCCAGGCTAACTGTGTGATCATGGGAAAGTCACTTAAAACTTCTCAGAACATCTGCATTTAGTGAGAGTTTGCAGCTGGCCAGGCTCAGGGGCAAGGCCACTTGCTCTCTGCTCAGAGGTCTGCCTGCCTTAGGCCAGGATGACGCGATGGGGTCTGTACCATATGCTTTGCTCTGTGCAATATGGGGAAATGAGAGCTTCAAGAAGTCTTGGTTCAGCATCACCCAGGGGTAAATGGTGGGGCTGGGATTCCAGCTGGTCACAGAAGCCTGTGCTCTCAGCCACTGCTTCCTCGCTTTGCTCATCAGCAGAAGGGGCGCACCGGTCACTCACTACCCAGGGGTTTTTGCGCTTTGGGTTGGAGGACGGCTGAGAAGGGCTGGCCCTGCCCCGGGATACCCAGTAGACGCTGCTCCTCTGCATGCCGGCCTCTGGCTGACGTCGGTCCTGTCCCTCAACAGCTGGTGGTGTATGTACTTGGTGATCACTCAATCATGCATGACTCTTTGCGACCCCATGGACTGTAGCCCGCCAGGCTCCTCTGTCCATGAGATTCTCCAGGCAAGGATATTAGAGTGGGTTGCCATTTCCTACTCCAGGGGATCTTCCCAACCCAGGGATTGAACCCGCAAGCCTCCTACATCTCCTGCACAGGGCAGGTGGATTCTTTACCACTGTGCCACCTGGCTGATGGCAATTTGGTCTTTCATCCTCACATGATAGGATTTAAAACCTCATGGCTCACCATGGAATATTACTCAGCCATTAAAAAGAATTCATTTGAATCAGTTCTAATGAGATGGATGAAACTGGAGCCCATTATACAGAGTGAAGTAAGCCAGAAAGATAAAGACCATTACAGTATACTAACACATATATATGGAATTTAGAAAGATGGTAACAATAACCCTATATGCAAAACAGAAAAAGAGACACAGATGTATAGAATAGACTTTTGGACTCTGTGGGAGAAGGCGAGGGTGGGATGTTTCAAGAGAACAGCATCGAAACATGTATATTATCTAGGGTGAAACAGATCACCAGCCCAGGCTGGATGCATGAGACAAGTGCTCGGGCCTGGGAAGACCCAGAGGGATCGGGTAGAGAGGGAGGTGGGAGGGGGGATCGGGATGGGGAATACATGTAAATCCATGGCTAATTCATGTCAATGTATGACAAAACCCACTACAATATTGTAAAGTAATTAGCTTCCAACTAATAAAAATAAATGAAAAAAACAAAAAACAACCTCATGGCTCTGGCTCCAGGACAGACTTACCAAACTCAGGTCCGGGGTTGGCTGAAGGGAGGGCCTTCTCCTTCATGCCCCAGTTGAAGATGTAACAGTTGCCATAATCAGGGTGGAAGATGGGCGTGAAGTTCCTGAAAAAAACACTGTCAGCTGGAGGCCAGGGCCCATCCCCATCCCAGCTGATGCCGCCCCCACTACCATCCCTGGATGTGTGGCAGCGGGGAGCTGGTAGATTACTGCTCAGAGAGGCTCAGGAACAGAGAGGTGAGCGAGAGGTCATTCTGTCCATTCCCCTGCAGCCATACACCCACCAGAGAGGAGATTCCCAGACACTCTTGGGAAAGAGGGGGTGGAGGGAGTCTTTCTCTGGGATAGGAGCCAGGCTCTCTGGCTTAGTCATGAAGTATGAAAAAGAAGTTTCTTTTCTTTCTTTTTTTTTTTTTTGAGGTTAATTTGTGCTTTTATTTGCCAGTGTAATTTAACTACAGTGGCCTGCAAACTTTTCTGATCTAAAAATACATTTTACATCACAATCCAACAAACATATACACATACATAAAATGTATACATATATAAAAGTGAAACAAAAGTTTCATCAAAAACATCTGCCCTGAGGGTTATTATTATTATTATTTTTGAGACCCGAAAAAGAAGCTTCTTTGATGTTTTCAGCTGGCTCATCTACAGGGTCTTGTAAGCCACGTGGTCACTTAAATGGTGACCCCTGAAAAGAGATGTCCACCTCCTAACCCCAGGGACCTGTGAATGTGACCTTATTTGGAGAAGGGATCTTTGCAGGTACAGTTAAGGATTTTGAGGTGAGATTAACTGGTTTTATCACGTGGGCCCTAAATCCACCCACAAGTGTCCTCAAAGAGTCAGAAGAGGAGGCACAGAGGAGAAGGTCACTTGAAGACAGAGGCGGAGACTGAAAGGTACAAAGACAGAAGTCAAGGAACACTGGAGCCCCCCCCGCCCCCAATATGCTAGAAGCAGCAGGAAAGGATTGTCCGCTGGAGACTTGGGAGGGAGCCTGGTCCTGCTAACACCTTGATTTCTGACTTCAAGCTTCCTCTGTGGAAGAACACACTTCTGTTGCGTTAAACCATCCAGTTTGTGGTCATTTGTTGCAGCAGCCACGAGAAACGAATACAGATAACATGGGTGAGCAGGCAGCTCCAGGAAACGTTTGCTCCAAGGAGCTGGCAGAATCCAGACGGGTAGACTTGTCTGGGAACCCTGGAACTCGGGTAAGGAGGGAAGAAGATGGAGATGGGGGGTCAGAGGAGGGTGTGAATCAGGACAGGGTGCAAGCAGAGGTCAGGAAAGAGAGAACTTCACAATGAGGTGTGAGCCCATCTAGGGTCCTATCTTACATCAGGGGAATGTTTCCTAAGGAACCATTTGATAACTGAACAATAGCACAAAATATTATTATAAAGATACAGAAAAGTGACAGTATAATATTAGTTTCAAATAATTTGGTTCATTTTTTTTCTATATGGAACTTTTCAAACATAAAAAGGTTGAGAGGACAAAGGCCATCACCAGCTTCAACAATCCCCTACAGTCAGCTGTTTCATCTCTGCCTACCCCTACTGAAGGTAATCTCAGATATTACAATTTTATTTGTAAACATCTCTATATAAGTAAGAACTTTTTTTTTTTTTTTTTTGGTGCAAGCTTCTCTAGTTATGATGCACAGGCTCTCTAGTTGAGATCTTAGTTCCCCTCTAGAGAAGCCACACCCCCTGCATTGGAAGATGGATTCTTAACCATTGGACCACCAGGGGAGTGCCCATAAGAACTGCTAAAACACCGCTATTACCAGGTTAAACATAACTGATAAAAATTCCTTAGTGTTATTATACATTCAATTTATATTGTCTCATAGAGGTCAATTTTGGTTTTACAATTTATTGGTTTAAATTAGGATCCAAATGACATTGACATGTGATTGGTTGATATGCGTTTTAAATCTCTTTTACTCTATGGCTTCCTGCAACTGATTTTTTTGTTGTAAAATAGCTGTTAAGTTCTGGTTTCATCAAGCTAGTAACTGAAGAGTGAGTGATACAATTAGAGGGTACTCATTTTGTTCCCCTGATTTTGGGGGTTTCGGGCAACGTGCACCAGTGGTGACCAATGCTGTGTCCCGATGGAAGGGCACAGGCTGCCCAGGAAGTGGCCTTGCCAATAAACAAAACAACCACCACAACACCCAGCCATGAACAGGGTCGAACATCTGTCTCTAACTACCATTTACAGCAAATACTGGAGACAGAGGAACAAATTCAAAGATACTGCAGAAAGTCAATCTGCAAAATCCAGACTCCAGAAAATAAATAACCCAGTGTTTTCAACAAATAAATTATGAGACAGGGAAAGGGAGGTAACCTTCAGATTGAAAGCAGCTTCAAAGACTTGGTTCTATCTCCAACCTGTGGACTTTAATTGGATCCTCATTCAAACAAGCAAACAAAAAAGTCTGACACTCAACAGACTGAACACCACTGGATAGATGATGGTAATGAGGAAGCACTGATCGTTTCTTTTTAAGGGGGCAAAATGGTATTGTGCTTCTGTCAAGTCTTTCTCTTTGAAGATACATTCTACACACCATATAGATGAAAGCATATGATGTCTGGGATTTGTTTTAACAGGATGAGAATCGCACTTATTGGATCTGGGTGGTGGGTCCACGTGAGTTCCTCACACCCTGTCCTGTCTACGTGTATGTTCTCAAGTCTCCATGTGTGCCAAGCCGCTTCAGTTGTGTTCGACTCTGTGCCACCCCATGGACTGCAGCCTGCCAGGCTCCTCTGTCCTTGGAATTGTCCAGGCAAGAATACTGGAGTGCGTTGCCATTCCCTTCTCCAGGGGATCTTCCCAACCCAGGAACTGGGATGGAACCCACGTCTCTTAAGTCTCCTGCATTAGCAGGTGGGTTCTTTACCACTAGCGCCACCTGGGAAGCCCAATTTCAAGTCTCCATAGGAAACAGCATATAAGGGGACTTCCCTGGTGGTCCAGTGGTTAAGACTCCACACTCCCAATGCAGGGGGCCTGGGTTCAAACCCTGGTCAAGGAACTAGATCCCACGTGATGCGACTAAGAGTTTTCCTGCCACAGTGAAAATATCCTGCATCCCAAGACTAATGATCCCTCATGCAGCAACAAAGATCTAAGATCCTGAGTGCCACAACTAAGACCCATGGAGCTAAATAAATATTTTTAAAAAATGGAGCTAGCATTTAAAATGTCTTGGGATGTTTTTATATGGGTTTCTGTTATTTTATTAAGAATAGGAGGGAATGGGGCTTGGTGCATCAGATACTGCAGAAATATACCTGAAATGCTACACTTTCTAAGCTTTCTGTTCCACAGCATTTACTGAGCAAATTTTCCCGGGCCATGCTGAAGATTTCTGGGTATGTTCTTTCCTTTAATTCTCGCAATAACCCTGTGCGGTCAGCAGGTATTTGTCCCCATGTTCGGATTAGGAAGCCATTTCCTGTCTCTTTGGTCTCACCCCCTGCGCCAGCCGAATCAGGTGGGTCCAGGGCAGGTGGTGAAACCCGATCCAGGAGCTGACTCTGCCTGACATGCACGTGAGTGGCTTCCTCAGCCTCTGAGCTGAGGTGTCCTCCACCGTCAAAGACAAACTGCATTTCTCACCCAACTCTTATTGAGTCATGCACTGGGCTCGGGACATGGAGGCCAGCAAGACAGTCCTGCCCTTGAAGCTCATGGCGTGGGGGAGACCACAGAGTGGGCTCATGGCAATTCTCCTTCCTGCCCGCCTCCTCCACCTCTAAGGCTCCCACCCTGGTCCAGGGCCACCAGCTCCCCCGACCCTGATTCCTGTAGGAGCCTCTGCCTCCACTCTTGCTCCCTTACAATCTTCCTCCTGCACAGTGGTCAGGGCAACTGTTTAAACTGTGAATCATGGGCTTCCCTGTGGTCCAGTGGTCAGGACTCTGCCTTCCGATGCAGGGGGTGTGGGTTCTATCCCTGGTTGAAGAGCTAAGATCCCACATGCCTTGCAGCCAAAAAAAGCAATAGGGTAACAAATTCAATAAAAACTTTAAAAATAGTTCACATTCCCCCCCAAAAAAAAAATTGTGAATTAGCCCATAGCACGCCCCTGTTAGAACCTTCCAGAAGCTCCTTGCTGCTCTCAGAATAAAATGCAAATGCCCCACTTGGCTTCCTCTCCCTTGTTCATTATACTCCAGAGACACTCCATGTTGTCTTTAAATTCAAGGCCCACTGTTCCTTGTGCCTGGAATATTCTCTGAGCAGATCTTCAAGTGTCTGGTTTCTCCTCCTCCTTCAGGTTTCATCTGCCCGGAGATGTCCCCTGACCTCCCTATGCAAAGTCACCTCCCAGTCACTTGGCCATTTCCACCTGCTTATTTCCCTGGTGGCTCAGTGGTAAAGAATCCACCTGCCAAGGCAGGAGATGTGGGTCGGGAAGATCCCCTGGAGGAGGAGATGGCAACCCACTCTAGTATTCTTGCCTGGGAAATCCCATGGACAGAGGAGTCTGGCGGGCTACAGTCCATGGGGTCACAAAGAGTCGGACACAACTTAGCAACTCAACAACAACAACAACATTCCCATGCTAGCATGCATCAGAAGTTGAACTCATCTTCTTGACTTAATTGCTCATCAGCGGCCTCTTGCTTTAGAAAATAATCCCAGGGAGGACAGCTGTCTGTCTGGAGGGAGAAAGACCCTAAAAGCGAAGGGCTCAGGCTTGGGAGCCAGCCTGCCCGAATTTGAATTCTGCCTCTGCCAGTTACTCGCTGGTGAGCTTGGGGGAAGTCATTTCACCTCTCTGGGCCTTGTTTCTGCCCCCATAACACCAGGGTAACAACAGCACCCACCCAAAAGGACTGAGGTGAGGGTTGGAAGCTGAGCACACTGAACTACTGAACAAATTCACCCCCGATCCTCAGAGCCTGGCACTTGATAGACAGACACTCAGTAAATATTTGTTGGATAAATTATAATATGTGATAAGAGTAGCAACAGAGATAAGCCTGGAAGAGTGGACGGGGGGCGGGTGGGGAGTGGGTCAGGGGAGGGTTCCTGGAGGAGATGAGGCCTGAGCTGAGACTTGAAG